CCTTGCTTGCAAACACAATTTGCTCAAATGGTTACCGCTTTCCTGCCTCGCTGTTATTAGGAAAACCTGGAGTTTGACTTGCGTCATATTGGTTTGTGGGAACTGGCCTCATTGAATACATGTTTAGAAGATCAATCCTTGAAAGGACATGGTCAACATCTTTAAACCATGGGTTTGAATATTTTATTCTTCTCCTCTTTCTCTGTAATTTTATTTTTTTAACTTTAAAAATATCCCAACTACTGGACTTCTTAAAAGTCTTTAGTCTTTCTTCCCAAGTATTCTTACTCTAGTTCAATTTCACAGTAAAACCTGCAGTAAAAAATTTAGTAATGGAATTATATATCCATATGTAATTGATTTCACTTTGTGAAATGCCAGTATTTGCTTTTTTTCTTTAATTTCCTATGTACTTTCATGGTTAATGTTACCTTTACTGGATCTGACTGTTTAGTTTTGTAAGGTTTGGCCAAGAAAGCCAAATTCTTTTCAAGTTGTTCTTACTCTTCCCTATGTTTGAGTAATATTGGTGGATACCAATTACAGTAACAATGAATACAACAGGACATATACACCTTTTTTATTATTTTAAGTAACCATGATCATGAAACATCACTCTGCATCTTAAATAGTTACCGCTTGTGGATATTCCAGAATGTTTTTCTCTTTTCACTCTCATTAGAAATCTAATACCCAATCTCCCCAAGACTTCTGTGCCACTAGGCACAAATATACGACTGTGTGTTTTGTTACCACTGTTGTTTTTGTTGTTGTTTTTAAGGAAAAATGAGAACAAGAGTCATCTTCCTGCCCTGGTAAGCAATACCATGAAAGTGTCAAACAGAATTGGGTTTTACATCATTTCACTATTCACATCGCAACATTTTCAGTAACAAGAGGCAGTTACCTCAGTAATAATGGAAGAGATGGTAGGGGTTCTGAACCGGAGCTTCCAGATTCCTCAAAGGCAGACATTCGTGTACTCCCATGATCTCTACTCTTCATTAGCGGCCGGAGAGGTAGTTGCTCTACTAATATCATCAACTTTCTACCAGCCTCCAATCATCTATGGAGTACATGCCTTCAGCATTCCACAGATTTTTGGACAATATTACTTTCCTTAGTCATGTGTGAGACCAAGAGCACTAGATTGATTTATGTTCTCAGCACTCGACTTTGATATGTTAACTTTATTTGGGGATTCTGGTAGATTTAGTATTCCTCAATCGTCTCCCTCACAAGATACCTTCTAGTATTTTTTAATCCACTTTGGCCTCAGCTGAACCAGTTACTATTGACTTTGTAGTAATGGTCTGAATTTTCCAAACTGTAAGACGGGCTAGTATTGGTGGCTTGACATAGGTAGCGTTTCAGTATTACACATCATCTTACCCTCTTTGCACTGTACCACATTTCCTGTAAAGTTGTTTTTTAGTATTTATGATAAAAAGTGGCCTTTCAAAGTTACTGATATTCCTATCAGGGAATTCTTCTTTTGTTGCAATATTTTAAGTCTTTCCAACTGTTTCCAGTAGAGATAAAAAAAAACCATGAACCATACATGAATTTTACCTATTTTTCTGAGTCTTTATGAAAAAACTCATTTAAATTCATTACGGTGTATCAGCAGTAACCCAGTCATTTCTTGGGACATATGGCAGAAACTATTTGTCCTAATGGTATTCATTCCTTCATTCTTCCTTATTAACTAGCTACGGATTTTTGTCCTGGACATTAGTGAGCTCAACTGAACATCATCATTCTTATTTGCTATTCCAGGTGAGCATATGATAAATACCACATCACAGAAGCCCAACTGGAAATCTAGCCAATGTTTCCAAAAAAGCCTTTGACTGTCTCGTCGAGGTAGACTCAGTTTGAACTACCCTTATTCCTGCCTGGAATTAGACATGCCACCTGACTTGTTATAACCTAATTGTGCCGAAACCAAATTTCCCTTCCCTGGATGGAAATGTCCTGAACTATCAGCAATTCACCTTTGCCCATCCCTCTGTCCTCTGCCAGGTTAACACATGTTTATCCAACTGAGTAAGACTTTAGAACTTAGAAAGCATGACTAGGCTTGATCTAGATTAAGATCTACCTAAGTACCTCAGAACACCTATTTCCAACACTTACAAATACATTGTGCCTCCCTCCCACCCCACCACCAGCCCCAAACATGGGCACATGTGACAGGAACAGCAAGCACCAAGGGCCAGGAACTGGCTCATCTCCTTACACATTATGCCCCACCTTCAGATTTGTATTCTTTCATACACCCAGGCATGTATTTAGAATAGTTGGAAAAAAAAAAGAAAGAAAGAAAAACACAGCTGCTTAGCAAATGTTTGTGGTTTTATCAGAATCCTAGTAAAAATTACAACAAATATGAAGAAAATAGTATGTTTAATTAAGACAATGTAATCACTATGATTAGAAGTAGTAGGATTTCTTGCCCATGACCATGACTTTCATTTTCCATCCTTTTGCGAGGCTGCTTCATTTATACAATCTCTACACTTAATCAAACATGTCCAAGATACAACAATGCTCCTACTAGTAATTATAGTTTTAGAGATGCCACATTGAACGTAGCACTAGATGAGAAAAGCAATCTCTTCAACCTCCTGGATACAAAAAAAAAAAAAAAAAAACAACAAAAAAACAAAAAAACAAAAAACCAATCTCAGGAATAGAAGAGACAAACCTACGGAGTCATCAGAAATCTGCCAAAACCAACTCTTTTGTTTTTTCCTTAATGGAAATTATGCTAGGAAATATATGCGCTCTGGTGAGCCAAATTTAAGTTATTTATTACACACTGCTTATTGTGAAGGTTGGATAATGTATTGACACCGGCTGGGAATCACTCCAGCAAGAACTTTATTCAAGTAAACATCAATAAGAAAACCGATTTTATCATCGTCACTATTGACATCTGAAGACTGGTTTCCAAAAATGAGAACTTAAAGCAAAGCCATATTGGAGTATTTAATTGTACCCCTTAATAATTCTTTCAATCAGGATTGATTTGATTTGTCTGTACTAAGAGTAAAAAGACTAATATATCGAGAGTTTTTTTAATTTTCTTTTCATTTTATTTTTGAGAAAGAGAGAGACAGAGTGCAAGCAGGCGAGGAACAGAGAGGGAGCACACTCCAGGCTCTTATCTGTCAGCACAGAGCCTGACATGGGGCTCGAACTCACACACCAACAGATCATGCCCTCAGCCGAAGTCAGATGCTTAACCGACCGTTCCACCCAGGCGTGCCTAGAGATAGTACTTTATAGAGTACAAATAAAGATGCTACAATCTATATTGTTATTGTGAATACGTGAAGGGAAAAAAAAAATAACTATAAGGATGGTTAAAAAAAAAAAGGTTAAAGCATAGTTTTCCCCATCATTTTAGTAATCAGGAACTCAAGAGAGAAAAATTGACTGCAATACAAATGACTTTTTGTTTTCTTTTTTAGAGAGCATATGCATCTAGAATACACTGGCTTCTCTGAGAACAATTTGTATAACAATATTTGTGGTTTTAAAATGTTTACTACCTTTTTGTACAAGGCATTGCACATGGAGTGTGCAGTTTAGTTGCAAAACAACGGACATGTTATTATCTTCACTGCATAAACCAAAGAATGAAAGTTACAGGGATGATCCGATGGCACATCATGGAGAACTTATCTAAGCCTAGTTGGTTGTTACTTGAGAACTCCATGACCCTGCAGTCTTCATACTCCAAATATCTGAAGACTAAGAAAACTACAATCCCAGCTGTCTGAAATTAACCCTGTTCAGGCAGAAAACGGTGCCAGTACTTCCTGGACCCCTCTTTCCTCTACAATGAAAATACAACTGAAACCTCCTCACTCTGCATCCACCAACTGAAGTGTGGGTTGTAAAAAAACGACTAAAAGCCCAAGTGGAAAAGAGACCTCGGCAAGGCTTCATTCGTAGGCCATTTTCCCTCAACCAGATTCTAACAGCTAAGAAGAATTTCCACCGGTATCGGATTCCTATAGTCGCTGTAACCAACCACAACCAACCAAGTGCTTCAAAACAAAAGTTTTATCTTACCGTTTTGGAGGTGAGAAGGCCGCAACAGGTCTCACGGGGCTAAAAGCAAAGTGGTACCAGAGCGAAGTTTCATTCTGGAGGCTGCCACTATTTTTTTGGAGATGGCTTCCTTCTTCCATTGTCCACAGTAAGCCCTGGTCAGTCTGCTCTCACGCTCCATCACTTTGACACTGATTTCCCTGCGTCCCTTTTCCACATTTAAGTACTCTGTGATTACATTGGGGTCACCTGGATAACTCGGAATATTTGGCTCACCTGGATCACCCGGCATACTCTACTAGTTGAAGGTCAAATGATTTGCGATGTTACTTCCACCTGAAACCTTAATTTCCCTTTGCTGTATAATACAATATAGTCATAAGTCCCAGGAATAAGGATGTAGACCATTTATGGACCATTATTCTGCCTCCCACACCACCACCTTAAAAATAACAGTGGAAAATCAAATTTGTTGCAGGTACAAAAGGAAGAGTATGGACAAAACCTCAAATTACTTATCTACAAATTCTAAGTACTGCAAATCAAAGAATGATTTGCACGAACAGGAGGACAAACACAAAAATCCCTCTAAAACTGCTTTGAAATTTCAGAAGCAGCATGGAAGGATAGTTCCACTTCTGCTTGAAAATTGCATGACCTTAACCAAGTCAATGAACTTGGATTCCCAGATCTCAAATTCCTCATCTTCAAAATTATAGAGTCTCACTAAACAGTCCATCATGTCATTACCAGCAGGTAGTGTATGATCTACTGAAAGGAAGGGTATCCATGAAGAAATTCTGAGAAACATGGGTATCAGTGACTTGTGATAACACAGCACCTCACACACACACACACACACACACACACGCACAAACAAAAAGCCAAGACAATTAATATTTCATTACTTTAAAAAATGTGCGGACCTCGGGCACCTGGGTGGCTTAAGTGCCTGACTTCAGCTCAGGACATGGTTTTGCAGTTTATGGGTTCTAGCCTCACACACGGCTCTGTGCTGACAGCTCAGGGCCTGGAGCCTGCCTCGGACTCTGTCTCCCTCTCTCTCTGTACCTCACCTGCTCACGTTCTCTCTGTCTCTCAAAAATGAATAAATATTAAAAAAATAAAAATAAAAAATGTGCGTATCTGACACTGATAACAACTGTGCACTTATGAGTAGGGAACTTTATTGTTTCTTATAATTTACAAATGATGAAGGATATAGCCTTAAAAACATTTTGGTCATAGTAAAGTAAATACCCTGTGAGAGTTATCATATAGAAATAATTCTCATTTGACCTTATTATGTATTGCATTCATTGTCATAAAAATGAAAATTAATTGAAATATAAGCAGAAACACAAAAAGCTCTTTTTTAAAAAATTAAAAACATCATTAAAATATGACTAATGGTCTGGTGAAAGCAATGGTCTTAATACAAAAATGTATAAATGATATGGAAAAATATAGGAATTGCATATTTACAACATTTTAGATCATATTAAGCTAGGAGCTATGATTTTATATTATGTCTCATATTCTAAAACCAAAATAAAAACTTTAATCCCAATTATTTAAAGGCATAAACAAGTAATAGATAAAGCAGAAAAGTACTTTTTGATATCAAATATTGTCAATCTTTTAAAAAACCATTGGTTAAAATTATTCTCTAAATATATGCACCCCCTTCCCTTCATACTATGTATAATCATATACATGTGATCCAAACATAACTTTGTGGGTATTGATTTTATAGTGGTCCAGAAGCTGTTGAAATGCTGAAGATATCTGTGGCTAGAAAAAAAAAAATTAAAATTCAAGGAACACCAGATGGGAATAAGGCAGAAATATAAAACCAGTAAGGAAAAGACATTCCAAGATATATAAACCTGGACACTTCTGTAATCTCTTTGGTCCTTATTTTCCTTATTTGTGACATATATAATGTTTTTCCTATCTATCAAACCTAAGATTCTTTAAAAATAAACCGGTGGTGTCCAGGAGATTCAACTAACAACCAGAAAATGAAAACTGCTCAGTACTTAAAGGAGCAGGAGCATTCTAGACAAAGGCTAAAGAAATAGGACTCTCACGGAAAGCGGCTTTGCCGTCCATGGATTGGGAAGCTACAGGGGAAGGAGGTGGGGGCAGTTATACTCAAAAAGATGTTCTGTGTTTGGGATCTTGTGCCAAGATGAGTTTGCAAAAAAAATGCAAGTAGATAATTAGAGTGTGGTTTAGTCCCGAAATCATGTGGGGATATATGGAAAGACTGTTTCTCCCCAAAGCCACAACACACAATGACATTTCAACAGAGCTGAAACTCAAGTCAAAAAAGCCTGGAAAGGAACTTGGGAGATAGTCAAATTGTCCTCTGTGGCTAGAACCTCGCATGAGAATACACAGCTGATACTTGATATGTTACCCACCTGTATTTTACACTTCAACATACCATTTATCCAGCTAGATGACTATAATTACAACGATTGTGCATTCACTCTGTCCGGGAAGCTTATACCTAACTTACCTTCTTCTTAGGAAAGCTACAGAGGTACCCAAGAAACGGTGGAAATCTAATAGGAGAAATTCAAACGTCAAAATATTTACTGGAGTTCTGTCTTGGCAATGACATGATACCCAATACCAGAGCGAGGAGAGTAGTAAAATTGTTTTGTGAATTCCAAGCTTCACATAGCCTAGTACCTGCCATATAATGGACTTTAATAAATGGTGGTGGTGGTGATGATGGTGATTGCTGGATAAGGAATCAGAAGGCTTAGGTGCTCATTTTAGTCCTGCTACTTAGTATGCTACAAGTCTTACATGATTCATGTCGGTTCCCACATGTATTAAGTGGTAAAGATGAATATCTATTACATCCCTAGTGAAAAGGGATGCTTCTCAATAAACTCTAAAAAATAATAAAAATCCATAAGGCTGGGTGAAGCTTGCTGTCACAGAGGTCTTAGGTGGAAAACGGCGATATCACAGATGCACAAGGGCTCTAAGAACGCACACGAAATGCTGCTGATGTTAGGACAGAATACAGCAAATGCTGTCAGAAAAGTACAGGGCAGTTTTGTTTTCATTAACACATCAACGAAGAATTCGAATATAATGTTAACGTCGACTGACTCAGGAGACCGGCTGCAGAGGATCGGAGGGGATACAAGGAAAGGTTTGCTAAAGGATGAGCAAAAGAAAGGGTGCGTGGAAATGCCCGTGTTAGGTAGGCCACATCCACAGCTGCAGCCTTTCCACTGGGCTTCGTTACCCTGCCCCCCATCCCAGCCTTTCATATGGCTTCAGGTTCAAACCATTCCCGCTTCTTGAAGACCTAATATCCCTGTTAGCCTAACGGCACCCATGAATGATTGAAAGAATTATTTGAAATGTAACAGGGAAAATGTCAAAAACTGCTACTAATCTTCATCCTAAGAGTATAATATTAGATATCCTGGCGCAGAGGAAGAGTGACTTACAGTGGTATAAAGAAAATAATAATAAAAATGTGTATATTTGGTTGAATATAGAAGAAACCACAGAGAAGTTAAAGTTAAATTTCAGGGAAACCACAAAAGTGATTAGATTATAGAATTCCTTCCCTGGGGAGGTAAAGAAATCTTGCCACTACTAAAACTACATCAGGGGAAATGAAAGAGGGTGGAGACAATAAAGGAATTCTAAACAAAAAGGAGAGGATATCGATGACCTTTGATTTTTTTTTTTTTAATAGCATTCTTGGACACCAAACTGCTTGGAGACAGCAACATTTTTCCTGAATTAACTGTAAATAAATTAGAAACATATGTGTTAAAATTCTAACAATGACCCTGGTCATCCCTAATGGGGAGGGGAAAGTTACTTATTAAATTCCAGATATTTTCAATTTAGCCAGCGAGGCACAAAGGGAACATTAATAAGGAGAGGTGTAGACGATTAACATCAGGGCTAAAGGCAAAACGTGTTTGCAAACAGGCTTCTGAGGAGGTCTCCATTGCCTCCTTATCTATGCTGGGCCTTGACCAGTCTTTTCCAAAATGTGTCTGTAGATGATCGAAACTCATTCTGACACAAAACGCTCTGTATTGATTTCCAGGATTCTGTTGTGGCCTCTCCTCAGCAGATTCCTGCTGGACTGGATAGGAAAGCCTCTTTGATACACAATTCAATAGAAGGTCCAGTATAAGTTTTCCAATTTACTACTGACAACTGAGAAGATCAAGAATGACATTCTATCTTTCTTCCTGGAATGTCTAGCACAGTGAATGAAGCTTCTTTGTCCAAAGGGCATAGTCTGCATGAGTAACCACATCACTGGGGAGAAACACACTAAAAATGATACAAGTTTGTGCATAACAAAGGGACGGATGGGTGTAATCACTATGGGCTTTTCTTTGCATTCCTACTCCCTCCAAAGGAAAAAATATTCCTTCCGGATGCTCAGATTAGGCCCTCCTGTGCTGTGAAAGGCAATAAAATAATGTTCCTTACAACAGTTTTGGAGTCTTAATCTAATGTGGTTTAAACTGATGTTTAACTGGACATAAGACAGACAAATAATAAATAAATAAATAAGTTTTGGAGTCTTAATCTAATGTGGTTTAAACTGATGTTTAAATGGACATAAGACAGAGAAATAATCAATCAATAAGTCTGATCAATATTAATGCTTTTCAACTACTTTTCCTGACAGTTAAGAATTTCTCTTAAAATTACCGCACCTTTCCTTCACAAAAGAATTCAGATAAACACCCCATGTTTAGTAAAATGTACAAAATGACTTATTTCCAAGGCAACGCTTGTGAAAATTTCAGAGTGGAATTCATAAAGTCTCAAAATGCCCTACCACAGCAATATGTCATATTGTCTTTTATCATTTTTTTAAAGTTGATTTATTTATTTTGAGAGAGAGGGACAGCACAAGTGGGGGAGGGGCAGAGAGCAAGGGAGAGAGAGAGAATCTCAAGCAGGCTCTACACTTTCAGCACGGAACCCAGTGTGAGGCTCGAACTCATGAAACTGTGAGATCATGGTGTGAGCAGAAACCGAGAGTCAGACCTTTAACGACTGAGCCACCAGGTGTCCTGTCTTTTATCATTTTACAGTAATGTGTTCTCTAATTTATATATGTATTAATAATAAATTCAAACCTTGACTACTCGGAATATATGAACATCTTTGTGGCATTTCTGTGGATGATTGATAATATTTTCACAATTTTGTGTCCAAAGATGAAATCTAAGAGTGATTCATGCGGATCACACCTCAATTTGCTTGAGAAACTTATCAATTCGAAAATAATGGATCAGGGTGCATAGGGGGCTCACTCGGTTAAGGCTGATTTAGGCTCAGGTCATGATCTCACAGTGTGGGATCGAACCCCAGGTTGGGCTCTGCTCTGATAGCGTTGAGCTTCCTCGGGATTCTCCCTCTTCCTGCCCTTCCCCCTCCTCTCTTAAAAGAAATAACATTTGAAGATAAAAAGAGTCTTTAAACAAATTAAATAATGAATCCTTGTCAGGGTTAAGAAGGCTCATGACTTTTGACAGCTATTCCATTCCTTTACGTTTTTTAAAGTAAAATGTTTACATGAACAAAATTATCATCAGAACACGTTAAGGAATATTAGTTTTTGCTACAGTATCCCTGTAGCTTTATTTAGTATTTCTATAGAAATATATCACACACATATATGTGCATGTGTGTTATATCATATTATATAATATATCCATATTTTATACAGTTTATTGTATACACATTATATGCATCTCTCTATATATACACTACTCACATATGGTATATATATATATGTATATATAAATATATATACATATATATATGTAATGTTTTCATTTCTTTGAATGACTTTTTCTTCCATGAATAGTTATGAATTATCAGGAATATGTCAAAGGCTCAGGTAAAGTAGAATTTTTTAACAATTTTTAACAGTGATCCAAAAATTCAAAGATGTTTGATAATCAACTACACTTTTTAGGTCTTGCAGGTGTAATAAATTATGGATTGGAGATGATGTCACATCCTTCAATATGTTTGACCTTCCAGAGTTTCATTGCTTTAAAAAACG